AGCCAAATTTCATAATTAGCGTTGCATGGTCTTCGGCGGCTACTGTACGTTTTCCCCGGAGAGGACGCCCGGTCAGTGGCTTGAGCGTAAATTAGTTTACAGTGAGCCTGTGGTGGACGGCCCACAATGCTGTCCCCCCGTCCTCTCTGTGTTCAATCTCCGGCCGCATCAACGTCATGCAACTTCACAGGCGACTGCTTCTGACTCGCTGACCTTAAATCGCTTAACTGACATTTACTCGCAAGCGCGGGCCCAAATAGTAGCGGTTTTTTCAAGGGCCACTTAAACGCGCCCCCTTCAACCGATGCAGTATGGAACTCAATGCTAGACACTCCTCGGGCAATACAAACACGCCAATGGCAAATCACTTAAACTTGCTTCAGTCATTTAAACGCAACTGCCATCATCACATTTCTCACAACACAACACGCAGGCATCAATCTCGGGCACGCCTGGACGCAGTCAGCACTAGCCCTGGCTTTGCCAGGGGCCACTGCTGCCTGAGACAGCAACATAGAGGATTCTGTGCACAATAAGGCCCTCATGCTGGTGACTTCTGCCTTTCAACTTCCAACCTGGGAGTTCGGCCTGATGATTGTAGTGATCCGTGTATAACCACTACTTAGACGCTACAAGGCAGACTTGCACAGTATCCACCACACTCTATCCTGCCTCACCTACCCTGCTGCGATGAAGCGACAATGTCAAGATCACCGGAGTTGGGCGCGGACAAATTGGCTGACAAAGTTGAACACTTCGTCTACCGTGTTACGCGAACGACCTGGGCACCAGAGGACTTTCGAGGTTTTTCGCTGAGAGCGGCCCGACACTAAGCGTTTCCAAAGGCAGCAGTAAGGGCCCATAACCAGCCTAACGTATCCTGATGCATTACTTTTATGCAGAAGATGGGTCGTTCAACTGCGAGATTTGGTTTGGTAAGAGGAAAAACACACTAGAGAAACAGCCCTCGGACACTGGATATCCATGGAACACAGCAGGGTGTATCCACACCGACACTAACGAAGTACATTGGCCGTACGCAAAGGTAACTGGCGACCAGGGCCGCTGCACATTTACCTAATTGGCTTTTTAAAGAAGAAAACAAAGTGCCACGTTCTTCCATTACAAAACACCTAGACAGTGGTCACTCTGCTGACCTCAATACATTTTTCCGAGTTTTGGTTCGGGAAGGAACAAATTGGACCATGTGCTACATGGAAGCAGCGGGACAAAGCCGACCCGTGTAAGCAGTTATACCATGTGACTAAGCTCCAACTGCCCTGGTAATCGCATGCCTACATTTAATTAACCTTTTATTTTTGTTTTTTGTTATTTCCCGTCCCTACTTTTCCTTACCAAGTTTAAAGGCGACATTATTATTGACCATTCGCAGCGTTGAAAAATGACCTTGCTGTCCTATATTGATTTTTTGAAAATTCAAAATGCCGTGTTCTCCGTCCGTTATATTATTCATGCAAAGGGAGGAAGCCGTTAACAAGCTCTCCCGACATTTATTTTTACAAATAAATCCTGCTGTTTTCGCTTACTTTAAATATGTACCTGGGAAAAAAGTGCTTTAAAGTACTTAATTTCGCCAAAGTCCCGGGCGCAAAACAGCAGGGAACTAGCACTTGAATGAATTGATGGGGGAAATTAAAAACAGTACCAAATGTACTCCCTGGCTGAATTCTATATTGTGTGCTTCCAACGCTCACAATAGTGTAGCCGTGTGAGTCTGGCGTTTTTTTCGTAGCATATTAACAGTAATATGGCCAAGTCCTTTCCTTGCAAAAGGTTTGTTCACAAATGCCCCCTCCTTACATTCCTTAATGTAGAATGGGGCCTTCACAGGAGTTGAATATTCTACAGCCCAGATTATAGAACTTGTTGTTAGATCGTGAACTCAGCACTCCTTGACACTGGTCTCCTCACGCTAATTGATAGGCGTGTTTATTAAACCTCCCCTTGGATTTTGATGTGTCTCATGCCTAAAATTTCCAAACCCTTGAGGAGTGACATGCATAACTCAAATGACGACTTCTCCAAAGGCGGGTACATCGTGCCAAGAGAATTCGAATCAGAAGTGAACGTTCAATAAGGGGAACCTTCGAAAATAACGCATCTTATACACACAGAAAACAGAAACACGCGCTGCTTATGAAACGAGCCTCAAGTGGTTAGGATTATTGGACTAAAAAGCCAGCATACTGCCGGTTAGATATTTAGTTGTGTCTATATCCCATCGTCTTCTCTGGCTAGTTTGTAGTTCGCAATTTCGTCAGAGTCCCGGACATAAAACAACACGTAATTCGCACATGAATAAGCCAATTATGGAAATCGAGAGAGAGAGAGAGAGAGAGAGTACTGAACCTACTCCCTGACAAAGCATATATTGTGTCCTGGAAAACCTACAATCATGTTCAAAATAATGCAGCCGTGGAAGTATGGCGGTTTTCTGTCACATATTAACAGAGATGTGGCCAAGTACTTACCTCGCAAAAAGGACTGTTCAAATATCCCCCTGTTTTATCGGAAAGTTGGTTTTTACAGGAAATGGATATGTCACAGCGCGGGTTAAAGAACTTGTTATTGGAATCAAGCATTGCTTAACCCTGGGTTTTCTACGCGAATTTACATGCATGTTTCTTAAAACGCCCCTACAAACTCTCCTCACATCGTTATGCAGTCAAAATGATTAAACGCTTAAAAAGTGATACGCATTGGTTAAATTTTAACCTTTCCAAGGACGCCTACTTCGTATTAAGGGAATTCGAGTCATTAATGAGCGTCCTACTAGGGGACCTGCTTAAAACACAATACACTGTAGCGTCTAAGTAGTGGTTGTGCCTAGATCACTTCTATCATCAGGCCAAAAACCTAAGTTGTAGGTAAAAAGCTGAAGACACTTGTGAGAGGGATGTATTGTATGCAGAACTCCCTGTTGCTGTCCCAGGTAGCAGCTGCCACTGGCGAAGCCAAGACTAGTGTTGACTGCGGCCAGCCAGACCTGCGAGAGCATAAGAGAGTGGTGGCAGCTGCTTAAGTAGGATTGCGGAGCAGGCTCATATGTTCTCCAATAGGTGCTTGTAACATTACCCGAGGGGGGGGGCGGGGGAGTGCTGAATGAGATAATGGATAACCTTGAGGCAGTTGGCTTAGAACAAGGAAGCCGGACACGGCTACGTTGGGCGCCGGCTACTATACCTTACATTCGCAGAAATATGTAACCAAAACGCCTTCTGCTCAAGAAATGATTTTACCGAGTGAAATTTTCATAGTTGGATGGGGTTATTTGAGTATAAATCTAGTACTTCGTTGGTAATAAATCCAATTGCGTTTATATCGCACGCCCAGCAGAATGTCACGAAGGGGAAATGATAAAAATGAAAATGAATTACCATTAATAACAGGAGGCATTGACAGAACTGTGCCCTTCGAATCCAGGATGATGGGGTATTTTGGATGACCCTTTAGCAGCGCAATGTAGGGCTTGAGGTGAGATTCTTTCTGAAGGGGTGGAGGGAAGAAGTCAAAAAACAATGCATGACTGAATTGACGTACTCATGGTGGATTTTGTGACGGAAGCCGATAG